TTGGCCCCGCAAACCACAAACCTTCACCAACAGCCTTAAATATGTGTGCACATGTTTTCGTCATGCTTGTTTCAGGATTCTGAACCCCATGTAAGGACTGCGCGAAGCTTGCGGAAGTTTATGTAGGGTAGGGGTTATAATAGGGTGGAAATCCAGAGTCCCCAAAACCAATCCCGCCTTGGTCTTCTTTGGCTTTGGGCAATTGCGCAAAGCCGACACACGATCCTCTGCATACCATGCAAGCCTTTCCTCCGCAAGCTTCGATGCAGCCATGAGCTGCGCTGGAAGAGTTTCCTCCTTGCACAAACATTATGAAGTATACAGGCGCAGTGTATCAGCATACTATTCGGAGTGAGTAATGGCAAAACTGAAGGCCCCAAGACCTACGTAGGGTTGCATGGTCACAATCTCAATCCTGCGTAGCCAAGTTCTGCAGCTGGGTGAAGATCGACTCCATCTCTTGGGCGTGGGTGTCAATCGTGGATCCTGGGCTGAGAAGTTGTAAGTAGAGAGCTGGCAGGACACAACACCTTGAACTTGAATCATTTGTACGCATGTATAATTGGGAAAAGGCACGGAGCTTCTCCTGGTGCTTCACCGATGACAATCGAATCACTATCATCTTGGCTTCTCCCATGCTTTTGATAAGCTTGGCAGTTGCCCAATCGCTGGCTGCCTTTGCATCATCCGTAGGCATCAGGTCCCTTAGGATAGAAAGGCCACATGGACAGAATTGGGAACTTGCGTTGATAACTGATAACCATGCGTGTGCATGTATGCTGCAGTTGAGATTCACCTTCTTGGGCTTCTTCGGGAAAGAGCCCTTTCCCTTCCCTTTTCCTTTTCCCTTAACCATCACTGCCGGGTCGGTGGAACTCCCACCCGCCATTCCCAAACAGCCTGCTCCAGCTGCAGCATCCCCGGGAGCAGGGGTAGTAGAATGACCCGGGGCGCAGAAGGTGTTTGTGCCCATGTGCTGCAGCAAGCCACCACCAGTGATGTCCCTGGCAGCCTTGCATGTCAGGACTGGCAGCAGCGTCTACAAGCATGACCGCACAGACAATACCATCCAAGAGCCCCTCGCCTGTGACCCCAGTGCAATGCCAGTCTCTGTCCCAACGGAAAGCTTCTCGCTTGTCACCTGGGATTGTTGGAGAATGGGTGGCTTTGTAAAAAGGGCATTTGGAGGGTCAGGAGGACTTAGCAAGTAGATGAACCAGGTGGGCATAGCTAGAGTTGCTAGATGGCTTATATGTAGGGGTTCTATATATATATATTTATTTACTAAGTTCCCCCGACCCTGCGAGTACTCAGCTACAGGGTGCACATATTAAAGGACAACCCAGTCGCATGTTCTTCGACGTGAGCCATCTCAGTCATCACCTTGTGAAGCACATGCATGATCTAAAATGACTACAGATAGGCTACATGCAGCTCAAGGGGCATAGTAGAGGGTGGCCTCACTGTCATTGGGCAGGTCTGGGTGAGCTTTAAAATGCCCGAGGGCAATTTTCGACTCTATGATGGCATCCACGATAGTGGGGCTGGTATGCAATTGCAATAGCTGCGCTCGTGTGCGCCAGCCTCAGAACGCTGCGACATGAAACTGTTCACTGGCGCTCCGCGTAAAGTGGGGCAAAATAATTATGCATCGTGGGCACCCATAGCATGCTGGCCCCGGGTCAGATCTTCTCTGGAGCGCTCTTGCCGCACTTGCAGCCTTGATGGATCCCCGCTGTTTTATGAACAATCCTTACAGTGTATAGCAAGTGCATGAAATTACGCTGGACACATGTATGCAAACAAGCTACCTTCCCAAATCCTTACCAGCCTCCATCCACTTGTAAAACAACTGTGTCTTCGCACTGCGACAGTTAGTCCTCACAGCCCGCTGCCAAAGGCTGGAAAGCTCCGGCGAGACTGTGCTCATCCCACTTGTGATCTCCCTGCAGACAGGAACCACAATGTGACACTTGATGGCAAATTAAAATCATTGCTGAGCCTGCCTCTTGAAGTGGGCATACCACTTCTGTCTCTCCAAGTAATCCTCTGGCCAGCTGCTAGCCTGAGTGTACGTAGCACAATCTCATGAGCCGGGAGTCGTTTTTGTATCACATGCAAACATGTGCAAAAACTTATGTAAAGTTGAGAGACACCACCTTCAACAACAGCAATCTGATCAATTGCTTCAGTGATCGCGGCTTGCTCCACTTTGTCCTTGATGGGCTGAGCTGCTTTGGCTTTCTTGGCGGGGGCATCACTGTGATCGCTGGTAGAGCTGCCGGGGACTAGGAACTGGTTTGGCATAGGCTTGGGCATAGTCTTGCGCGCAACTGGCAGTGGGAGCCCTCCCGCTGCTGGTAGTGGTGGGGGGGCGCTCATATCTCCGTGCTTTGGGGCCACAGTTGCAGGAGGGCTTCCTGCAGGAAAGGATTTGGGAAGTGCCAGGGCTAAGGGAGG